ACTCTGCACAGCGAATCTCGGGGCCTTAGACGCCTGGGCCACCCTAGGCCCCCTATGGAGGAATAATAGCATATACATGTCACCTGAAGGACAACGACTTAAAGTGAACAGCACGGCTTAATCGTGTGGGCTGCATGAAATAGATATCTCCTCAAAAACGCACTACAGTTGACAAGTAGTCACGTCTCAATGTTGTTCATCTTAATAAATAAAAAAATCGAAGCTTGAGCATGATTGTGTAACGAAATCATTACATATTTTCTGTTCCACGTGATCTGGTTAAGAGCCGAACTAGAGCATGCTGGGACATATCTCGCAACACCAGGCTACAGAACTATGGAGGAAGCCCTGGGACATCACAGTGAAAGCTTAAAGGCATCACAGTGGTAAGTACAATCTGCATTTAGTATAATGTACCACACAAGCGATATTTCATCTCAATTCACCTTCTGAAACAGAGATGGGAAGTACAAACACCAGAATACACTAATTAATATTTACTTTCCGAGACTGAAGAATGCCGTGGAAAGGATAAATATGGCCTCATACGTTATGTTATTTATTGACAATAATGTTATGTTATTCACAGGCACCCGACACTCAACGTAATATCCATATTTCACATGTGGTTCTTGGGTATCAGTATTATCGATCGTCATGTCAAACACAAGACATGTTTGTGTACTGCATTTCACTTCCGTCTTAAAGGTGTGTTGTACATTCGGTTTGGTGCACATCAGCCTTTGACTTGTATCTTGGTTTTATTTGTCTTTGACTCCGTGGTATAAAACCAATGACATAAACCACAGACATAAACCGACACCCAACCTTACTATAAATAATTCACATAAGGAATTTATACCTGTCACAGATCGAAGTTCAGGTCACGCTGCCCTTGGTCGTCGCTGTAGTTGTGTACTGTGTTCCACGTCCACGTTCAGTGTGTATTGCTCATTCAGGTGGCGCAGTTCAGTCTCGAAAGTGCATTTGGACCTGGAAATTATATTTCGACATATATTAAATGACATTATGTGATCACTAGGAACAGATGTTGTTGTCTTACAGACAAACATATGTCCTCTAGACAAAAATAAATACACAACTCCCATGCCGGACTTCTTACTACTACTTAGTTGATGCTTGAGTACATGAGCGAGTGAGTGAGTGAGTGAGTGAGTTTGTTTTTAACGCCACTTTTAGCAATTTTCAAGCAATATCACGGGGGAGGACACCAGAAATGGGCTTCACACATTGTACCCATTACGGGAATTGAACCTAGGTCTTCGGCATGACGAGCGAACACTTTAACCACTAGGCTACCCGACCTCCCATTGAGTACATTAATTAAGAACGAGTTTATAAAAAGGTCTTAAAGCAACTTTGTTTTATTGTTTCGCAGGGATAAATTAAAGTTGATAAGCAATAATATTTTTGTCTGGATTCCTATCATGAAATTAATGTCACGTGACAGTTAAAACAATACAAATATTATGAAGTTATCACATTTAAATCGGAAAAATACATCATTTCATACGAATGCTTGAAAAGAACGCACGCTTGTCTAAAAGCCGAATAAAATGTGGTACATTTACAATAAATCACCATACCTGTAGCACGGGTGGCTCTGTCATCAAAGGCGCCACAATTCGCTGTGTGTAGTTGCCTCCCTTGGGAACACCAGGAACCTATGATTGTGGATGTGCAACGATGATGTTTCTAGGTTTCCCAGTACCAAACGTGTGCTCGTTGGATGTATCGCAATGGAACTGGAATGCCCTTCAAAGCTGCGTTAAACCCACCAACCTTATTCATCACAACGCATATGCGCAGAGTCATTGATGACCGTTTTTCTTCCTTCATATTTCCCACGCATCAGTTCGGTTTTGTTATACAGTAAGCGACGTGCACCGAATCCAACTACTAGCATTAGCTGGTGTCCATGACACATTTCTAAAACCAGACAAGCGGGATATGTATGCTTCAGCATATAGCAAAAACAACAACCAGAACTCAACAAAAGCACACATCGGGGATATTGGTCCTTACAATACATTTCCCAGCAATATATTATCAACACTGACTGACTGAAGATGGTTTTACGCCGCTTTTAGCAATATTCCAGCAATATCACAGCGGGGAACACCAGACATGGGCTTCACACATTGTACCCATGTCGGGAAATCGAACCCGGGTCTTCGGCGTGACAAGCAAACGCTTTAACCACAAGGCTACCCGAGCGCCCCTATAGTATCAACAAATACACATATATACATATGTACATATATAATTAATAAAGTGATCGGGTGGTCGCATCTGTTCCTAGTACTCCCCCTGTTCCCCGAAACATATATATAGAAAACTACGGTTATAACGAACACGCTTATAACGAACTGACGGATATAACGAACTTACTTTTTGGTCCCGACTATTTGCTGTAGATATGTTGTATATATGCTTATAACGAACTACGGTTATAACGAACTAAAGTTTGAAGTTCCTCTGAGTTTGTTATAACCGTAGTTAGTTTGATGTATATATTTTCTCATGCGTACATGACCTATTATCGTTTCGTCACCAGAGACCTGTGAAGATCCGGGGTAGAATAGGTCTTCAGCAACCCATGCTTGCCGTAAAATGTGACTATGCTTTTCGTAAGAGGCGAATAACAGGATCGGCTGGTCAGGCTCGTTGACTAGGTTGATACATGTCATCGATCCCAATTGCGTTGATCGATGATCACTGTCTGGTCTGGACTCGATTACCCACGGACCGCCGTCATATGGCTGGAATACTGCTGAGTGTGGACGACAAAGTAGACACAATACATGGATAACAACTTCTTTCTTTACTTTAAGGCGATATGGTTAACATTATAAAACAACTTTCTTCCCTCGCGTTTATAAATAATAAAGTGGTTACTAAGCGTGATAATATATGGACCCGGCATGCTACGTTCTCGTCTTTTCAGTTGTGTTGCTCAGGCCTTTAACCCTTTAGACATCTACCCGATGTGAAACTCCCGATGTAAACAAGCCGGCTGTACTAAACAATTACTAACTAAACAAAACAACACTGTTAAGAGAACGCCTCCGTAGTTTAGTGGTAGAGCGGCCGCCCAGAGAGCGGAAGGTCCGGGGTACGATCCCCGGCCGCGTCATACCAAAAGACGTTAAAAGATGGTACTTGTAGTTACCCTGTCTGGCGCTCGGCATAAAGGGGCTAAAAAAGGACTGTTTGGCTCGGAGTCAGTATACTGTGTCTGAGTGGGATATTTATGTTAAACTGCGGCATGGTATCTCAGTGAGCTAGCACTATAAATTGGCATCAGTCCGGACTAGTACAAACCGCCACACAAACACACACACGTACATGCACGTCGCTATATAAGTGCAATAATCTTAGACGCGACGTTAAACCCCATTTCACCTCACCTCACCTCACTGTTAAGAAGAAAGGGAAATCACCGTCCCAATAAGTCTGAATATATTCAGACTTAAAGTACATCTGAACGGATAATGCGAACAACGGGCATATGCTGCCAACAAGTTTTCAACGAAACCTAAAGCTAAGGCAGTTATTCTTGGACCGACAGTGAGGCGACTGTGACGTGCATTGCCAGAGTTTACATAATGTGGGGCACACTGCAACATGCCCCACGGCCCCATTGCACAGAGCTGAGAGGTGAATGAATGGCCGTGACACCACTGCACAGAGCAGAGATGTGAATGAATGGGCGGGACACCATGGCGGCAGCGTTGGCGATGGTATCAACATCGTTGAGGTACGTAAATCTCTAAGCGATTTAAGTTGCCGGCCATTTCGACATAAATCAGCTGATGTTACACTTACTGACACATTCATATAGACCGAGCCGTGTATATTATTGTATTTTGTCGGTGCATGGTAAAGGTGAAATGCAGACAGAAACCCGACACTCAACTGGACTGTTATCGGTAAGGTCGGCCTTCATGTCACGTGACCTCCGACATCGGTACACCAAGCAAGTAAATAAGCACACTATGGTTTTGCGAGCATATCTGTCCAGCAACAAGGTGTCATTCGCGTCAAGCCTGTGCTGTGGTAGATAATTAAATGTATTGTGTAAGATGAAACTATTGACTAATGAAAACACAGAGAATGATACATTTTTTTAAAATTTTGATTTATTAACAGTTAGTGAGGGGAATCAACTCGCTTAATAGAGGTTCCACTGTACACGACAACCCACACAACAACACAAAATCTGAGTGTATCGACAGTCAGTTTATTAGATAGCCACGTAGCTTTGATAAGGGCGGATGATAAACAGCTTTAGACACAGATAAATATATCAACGTCTTACATTTGTTTCCTTAACTGTTTAGTTACATAGTTGAGATAGTACTGCAAGAGAGCAAAAAAAATAACCACGAAAAATATGGACCTGCGAAGTTCCATGATCAGGAATGAACGACCATTACTATCCAAAATCTTACAAAACCTCATTATCTTACAATGATAATCACAATCCTGAACACCAGTAGTGAGTGTGAGTATTCCAGTTATATCTCGGGGTGTCAGCTTAATGTGGGAGGAAAGCCCCAAGTGATGCAGGTCTCAGACTTCGATTAAACCCACGAGCACGGGTATGGTTTTGACAAACCTAGAAACATAATTCGGGCGAACCGGGATTCGAGCCCACAATCAAAGGTTTCTTGCATGCACAAGGGACGCAACTCTGCACAGGGAATCGCGGCGCCTTAGACGACTGGGCCACCCGAACCCCCACAAACCACAGATGTATACATGTACCGACTATGCTATATTGCTATCTGGGGCAAGTGGTTTCACAGAACACACTCAGTCATGTCACCTGACGTGACATTATAAGTAGACTGTCGTACACGGTTGTATCGCTGGCCAGACCAAGTCGTTCCTCAGGAAGGAGTAGAATCGCCCAGAGGGGAGAAAGGTAGTCAGACATTGACGATTGTGTTAAAGAAGAGCGACGATTGTGAATCCTACATATGTGTTTATCAATATCCATTATATCTATCATTAGCGTGGAAGATCCATACTGATATGTGTGACAGTAACTGATATTGTTCCCTGATTGAAGCTAGCCGGGTCCCCTACATACAGTAGGTTACGCTCACGCTGGATTCTCGGGAAAAGCGCCTGACCTGGAAAGACTGAGATGTATGTGTTGATATTCGGTAACTCAAAACATGAATGTGTGGGGAATCCCCTTGAGAAGGCTGCAGTTAAATAGGAGTGGGACAAACACACGACAGCGTGGACAGGATCTGGGTGCTGAGGTGCACTGTGCGGCGTGTGGGTTGCGGGGTTGAGTTAGGTGAATGTCGTGTGAGGAAGTATGGAAAGGTGGAAGTGCAGGGTGAGACAGGCAGGTGCGGGGTTGGAAGGCGCCGTTTGAGTAGGTATGCAAATGTGGAAGTTCAAGGTTAAGGGAGGTGGTGCGGGGTTGAGGCAGGGGGAAAGGGTTTGAGGTAGGGGGTGCGGAGTGGAGGTTGGGGGTGCGGGGTAGGGGTGGGGAGGTGCGGGGTTGAGGTGGGGAGGTGCAGGGTTGAGGCAGGGGGTGGGGGTTGAGGTAGGGGGCGGGGGTTGAGGTAGGGGTGCGGGGTTGAGGTAGGGAGGTGCGGGGTTGGGGTAGGGAGGTGCGGGGTTGAGGCAGGGGTGGGGGTTGAGGCAGGGGGTGGGGGTTGGGGTAGGGGGTGCGGGGTTGAGGCAGGGGGTGGGGGTTGAGGTAGGGGGTGCGGGGTTGAGGTAGGGAGGTGTGGTGTGGGGGGTGCGGGGTTGAGGTAGGAGATGCAGGATTGAGGTAGGGGGGTGCGGGGTTGAGGTAGGGGGTGCGGGGTTGGGTTAGGGGGTGCGGGGTTGAGGTGGGGAGGTGCGGGGTTGAGGTAGGGGTTTGGCAAGTGTGGAGTAGGGAGAAAGCAGGGTGAAACGGGGTAGGGTAGAGAAGAGAAGTTTGGGATTGAAGCGTTTATCGCAAAGGCCTTTCTTCTTTTTCCGGGGGTGGGGGTTGAGGTAGGGGGTGGGGGTTGAGGTAGGGGTGCGGGGTTGAGGAAGGGAGGTGCGGGGTTGGGGTAGGGAGGTGCGGGGTTGAGGCAGGGGGTGGGGGTTGAGGCAGGGGGTGGGGGTTGGGGTAGGGGGTGCGGGGTTGAGGCAGGGGGTGGGGGTTGAGGTAGGGGTGCGGGGTTGAGGTAGGGAGGTGCGGGGTTGGGGTAGGTGGTGCGGGGTTGAGGTAGGGGTGCGGGGTTGAGGTAGGGAGATGCGGGGTTGAGGTAGGTGGTGCAGGGTTGAGGTAGGGAGGTGCGGGGTTGGGGTAGGTGGTGCGGGGTTGAGGTAGGGAGGTGTGGTGTGGGGGGTGCGGGGTTGAGGTAGGAGGTGCAGGATTGAGGTAGGGGGATGCGGGGTTGAGGTAGGGGTGCGGGGTTGGGTTAGGGGGTGCGGGGTTGAGGTAGGGAGGTGCGGGGTTGAGGTAGGGGTTTGGCAAGTGTGGAGTAGGGAGAAAGCAGGGTGAAACGGGGTAGGGTAGAGAAGAGAAGTTTGGGATTGAAGCGTTTATCGCAAAGGCCTTTCTTCTTTTTCCGACATATGTGAAGCCCATTTCTTCACTTCCGTGGTATGATTATACTGGAAGTGTGATAAAAGCAGCATCAAGCTTAATACTCACTCATTTTACAACCAAGCCAAAGGAGCCAATGTGTTCACGGGTATAATGCTTTATTTTGCTGTTTGAGCAGCATACTTATCTGTGACGTTATCCTATAGTTTGAACGCGGCATGATACTTTTACAAATAAAATAAATGTTTGTTATCAATAATTCACGATCATGAACGAATATTTAGTATACTTTACGCCTCGAAAAGACGGACGTATTTTTTTTTATTTGACACTCAAGTTAATGTTTTAAGTTTTGTGGGAAAACACATGATTTGCTACAACGACACACTATAGTACGGTGCGATATACCGTACATATATATATATATATATATATATATATATATATATATATATATATATATATTGTTATATATTGTTGTATTTTGTGGATTAACAATGTTTGTAACGTTGTAACATTTTTACAATATAAATTCGGTAGATGCTCATTGCATTGTTTATAAGCAGTGAGTAGTGGTCCGTAATGTAGTACTATTTACTCTAAGCAGTCATCATGAAGTTACTACATTTAGATAGTGCGTTGTGTAAACTTCCGGTTTTCCGTGGACTGGTGTTAGAAGGGGAACAATATAGACAGACAGACAGACAGACAGACAGACAGATGGATAGATAGATATAGCCTAGGTCAGGGCTCTACACTACAGGTACTTTCCATCAACATGTTTTGAAACATGCAAGCAAATATCAAAGCAAATTCGTAGATCGATGCTCATGATGTCACTGAATTGTCTGGTCCAGACTCGACTCTTTACAGATTGCCGCATGTTGCTGGAATATAGCCGAGTGTGTGTTAACAACAAACCCACAAACAAACAAATTTGCTTGAGCGTTCAGGTATTCACATACACACATCTGAGGTGAAGCAATGCAACTGGGTTGTACAAAGAAACCTATAGATCATTGAATACAAGCTGGCATTACTTAATGCATTGAGCACCGACAGGCTAGTCTTGTCACACATACGGGTTACACTGACGCGATGGGCAAGTTAAAATAGGTTGTACTTAAAATAGCAGAGTGTCTGACTGGATCCGGCATGTAGCCGTGTAAGAAGCACTACATTCGTTGTTGTATCGGTAAGTAAACTACACATCGTATCATACATGGCACGAACATTGACAGTTGACTGCTTGAACATATAGATGCAGTGTCAATGTGAGAGCATTCGACTTGATAATCCCAGCGAGAGTGGAGGCTTTGTATAGAACGGCAACTCGTTGTTGATGTGTTGTGGATTACAGCGTTGTTATACCTGCAGGGGAACGATATCAAGGTCGACATGCCCTGTGCCTAACTGTGTGTTATTGTCCCTATTGCTCACAGTCATACTTGCACAGTGCGAGACACCTCACTCGTCTGAAGATTCACCACAACGCTGTGCAGAGTTGCGTCCCTTCGGCACGCCAGAAACCTATGATCGAGGGTTCGAATAACCTTTCTAGTTTTGTGAGCACCATACCCGTGCGCGTAGGTTTCGCCGAGGTGAACCTTGAGAGACACCTTCACTTCTGTAGCCTGAACTATGTACATGTCATGTATATACTATTACGTTTTGATTCGGGGGCACGGGTGGCCCAGTCGTCTAAGGCGCCGCGATTCGCTGTGCAGAGTTGCGTCCCTTGGGCACGTCAGAAACCTATTCGCCCCAATTATGTTTCTAGGTTTGTCAGCACCATACCCATGCTCGTGGGTTTCACCGAAGTGGTAAACGTCTTAGACCTGCATCACTTCGGGCTTTTCTCCTACATTAATCTGACACGGCGCGTTATAACAGGAATACTGTTAAGAGGGGCGTTAAACCAAACTCACACACACACTCCCACATTAAGCTGACACGCCGTGCTATAACTGGAATACTGTTAAAAGCGGCGTTAAACCAAACTCACACACACACGTTATGATTCGATGCGTGAGTTCCGGGATAAAATAAATGTTCAGCAGCTCAAGTGATCTAGTGATCGTATTATTGTTCGGAAGATGTTTCAACAGGCTGGGGAGGGACGACTTATCAACGCTCAACCAAGAGAGGAAAGGCCGTGTGGACATGGATGAACCATGCGTTATCGATGGCTAGGCAATTCAAGGTTCACGTAATGGCTTGTGATAAGGGAATACGGCTGTGTTTGACTGGTGTTGTGATAAATGAGCTATAATTTGCCCAGCGACTTGGAAATGTAAGGATGTCATTTGTTCAGGATAATTTCTGAAAATTAATAAAAGTATCAAGAAGTACATGGGCTGTAATAATAATAAGGCTACTAAAAGTTGGACTGACACAGCGTTAGTATATCTAAACAGTCGCATCTACACATGCTAGCAGCACTGATACTAACTAGTCAGTGATAGTATACAACTGACCTGATTGAAATACACAGAGGTTATCAAACTTAGACACTGTCAGGTATAAGTACCACGACACCAGTCTACAAAGATTAACAGACAGCTTTTGCATGCCCAGCTGGACGCACTCGTATGCACTGAAGTTAGAGATTTCTCCCAGAGTTATCTTGTGTTAAGATTGATTATAGGTGAGGCATCACAGCGCGGACGTCGGAGTAGACACAATCCTCGTGGGTTGTCTTTCACCTAAAGCAGCTCACCAAATGTGTGTTTGTGTGTGTGTGTGTGTGTGTGTGTGTGTGTGTGTGTGTGTGTGTGTGTGTGACGTAATAAGCGCCCCGCTCTAATAAGCGTCCACGGCGATATTTTCTAATATATTGGCTAGCGAACAATCAATTAGCACCCCTTCCGATTGATCAATGTGCACAGGACTTATTTATTCGTGTATAATACGTATTTTATATGCATTCATTATGATGGGAAATTAAATTCTGGAAAAAATATTTCTGTCATATGTAAACATTTCAGGCTGTCAGCATAAGCCACGAAATTTACGATCTTTTAACTCTGTTGTTTTTCACCAAAATAATATTCTAATAAGAGCCCCCTATTTCTAACTCTGAGAGCGCCCGGGGCGCTTATTGTCCCGAATACGGTATACAATTGAAATTCAGAGTTTTATATCGCAAATGTTATTTTCACTGATCCATGCACATGGCAAGGGGCTGTGGAAAAAACCAAACAAAACAACATGTATTCTCTGTGAGAGTAGTATTCCAATGATATTGCCGAAGAAGTGAGATGCATGACCTTTAACACATTAATACATGCATCTATTTTTCATAATTTCTTCATTGACTTGATGACCACCCGGTAAATACATTTCTGTCATTCGTGTCAAATGACATGGAGCAAACATTTGGTAAACGTAAAGCACAAGATGTGTTTCAAACAAAAACGTATGAAACAGCATAAATGCTCACACTAAAAGCAGTTTGATGTATGATGGTGTTTGTATCACAAAACCATATATTTCCTTTGCAGAGGCTCCAACTCCTGGTCCAGCAGAGCCATGCAGCTACTCTACCCCATTCTGATGACAGTCAGTGAGTATTGAGAACACAGTCAGTGAGTATTGAGAACACAGTCAGTGAGTATTGAGAACACAGTCAGTGAGTATTGAGAACACAGTCAGTGAGTATTGAGAACACAGTCAGTGAGTATTGAGAACACAGTCAGTGAGTATTGAGAACACAGGGGGTGGTTCGGCTGTCACAACTTTGAAGATATCTCCCAACTCAAAACATTATTTTCACATGGTAGAGTACATTACTTGAAATTCTGGGCGGTCGGGTGGCCTAGTGAGTGTTGAGAACACAGGCTTTTTCGGCTGTCACATCTTCGAACATATCTCCCAACTGAAAACATTCTTTTCACACGGTTGAAATTCTGGGCGGTCGGGTAGACTACTGGTTAAAGCGTTCGCTCGTCACGCCGAAAAACCGGGTTTGATTACTGACACGGTCACAATGTTCGAAGCCCATTTTTGGTGTCCCCCGCCGTGATATTGCTGGAATATTGCTAAAAGCATCGTAAAACCATACTCACTCACTCACTCACTCACTTGAAATTCTACTGTTCTGTGTCATTATCCTGTACCAAAACATTGATCACTATCAGAAATAATAGATAAAATACAATGTCTTCACACTGTCCGTTTCCTTCCTTTCGTTATCCTCATTCTTAATGCTTACGTTTTTATCAACGTTTCAGTCTTGGGAACACATGGCCAGAATAACTGTGAATGGGGGAAGTATGGCAAAAACTGCAGCAAAGATTGCCCTACGACTTGTATCCCTGACCCGAAAAGAAACCTCACACACTGCCACAAGGAGACAGGGAAGTGCTCGGAGGGGTGTGTGCCGGGGTGGTTTGAGGATCTCTGTGACCACCCTTGTACCAAGAACTGCTTGAGAAACACCTGTAATCGGCAAAATGGCATCTGCACGTTTGGTTGTGATGGAGACTACACAGGAGACTTTTGCAACAGTATTAGAGGTTTGAAAACAAGTTGATTCAAATGTGTGATAGTTGTTGCTCATCTGCAGTAACAACAGCCTGCTGTGGGATATAGTTCTCACATATAAAACGGTTTCATGATATTGTCTTGCTACCTAATCAGGCAATTTTATACCCAGCAAAAACTGTTAAGGACCACTAATATTTTCTGTCACAAAAAACAGGGTTAGTTATGTAATGATAGCCCAAACTGATATACATAGTTTGATAGTTTGGCCCTTCAAAAAGCTTATGAAACGTCACCTGATGCACGTGCATTATGTGAGAGGGCATGCCCAGCAAGAGATTCATGGTGTACTTTTGTGTGGCCTTTTCTGCCTTCAATGGGTGTGGTGTAAAAACGGTATAAGAGTGAGTGAGAATGGTTTTACACCGCTTTTAGCAATATCCCAGCAATATCACGGTGGGGGACCCCATAAATGGGCTTCACACATTGTACCCATGTCGGGAAGCGAACCCGGGTCTTCGGCGTAACTAGCGGACGCTTTAACCACTAGGCGACCCGACCGTAGTATACGCAACTGATAGAAGCAAAATGCCAGGTCGGCACATCTCTCTATTACAGAAGCAGGTAGAGCAAGTTAATTCAAATTAGTGATAGTTGATGCTGATCTGCTGTGGGATATATATATATAACGGTTTTATAATGTTTTGCTACCAAATCAGGCAATTAATGCTCAACAAAATCAGTTAGGGACCACTAATTTTTTCTGATACAAAAAACAGTGTTAGTTAAATGGCGATATCCACACTTTGGGCCCTTCAGAATCCCTCAAGCTGCTTTCAGGAACCTCTTTCAAATCTTCACTTGGCGGTGTCAGGCCGTGATTAGAGCTTGTGGAGGCAACATTCGATACTGACATTGCTGTGAACATTCATGACATCGGAATCGAGGTTTTACATTGATAGTCTGTTTATGATGTGATTCTGACTGACTGTGGGTGTTTCACCAAATGGAGACTGACTTATGTTTTATGCTGCCAAGGGTGATAACTCAGCGTGATTCAACTTGTTCTGAATCAATAAAACACTTTGTTATTCATTGTTTGGTCTTTCTGAATGTATAGTAGTTATATTTCGGTTTTAAGGATGTTTCTTAATTTTTTTAGTTGAGTATATATGCAAACTTACTGATTGGTTAGCTGTTAAACCCATGAGGATTTGGAAAAAAATTGATCTTAAGCAACTTGTGTTTTTCAAGGAAACAAACCACTTGAAACACAGGCGTGTCTGGTCCAGACTCGATTATTTACAGAACACCGTCATGTACCTGGAATATTGCTGACTGTGACTTAAGTTTGGATTTTATCTCAAGAATAAGCAACTTATAAACGAATGGAGCTATGGTTTTAGCCTCACCCGTGTAAGGGTTTTAGCCTTGCTCGTGTAAGGCTATTCGTGTCAGTATTTTCTATTACATTTGCCACTGGTGGGGCAGGATGCGATCACCTTTTTGCGTCCACCTGGCGTCATCACTATTTAATGCTCAATTATCCATGCTTCATAAACACATGCTCCTGATATAGTCGGAATAGTACAACTGACTGATTATGGAAAGGGTCTTCTCGTTTCCATTTCAATCTATCAAATATAACATGACGGTACACTTATACACAGTTATGCAATGTTTTATTTTATTTGATCTGTGTCTGTAGTTGGATATAAATATGATGCGATATAAGATACAATTATATTCATGTATTGATTTTCTAAAACAATCAAACTCGAACATGAATGTATCAAGCTGGACTAGTCACCTTTACAGTAGTAGTGTTTGGAATATCTCTGTACATGACTACATTGTCTGTATTTATGTCTGTACAGGGACGACGGCGACACCTCCCGGGGAATCCAGCACATGTAAGTACAAATACAACCTAAGACTCATATGTGTTCAAATAATATTGCGAATCATAATTGCTTGATATTACGTGACGGTATTTTGTCACAGACACATCGCCGACAACACCGAGTGAATCCAACACAGAGACAACACCGGACCTGGCTGCGATACTTGTCCCTGTGTTCCTCGTCCTGGTCGTTGTCATCGCTGTGGTGGTGATCATACTGTAAGTGTGTACCTAACCCTCGCTGTGGCGGTGATCATACTGTAAGTGTGTACGTGACCCTCGCTGTGGCGGTGATCATACTGTAAGTGTGTACCTAACCCTCGCTGTGGCGGTGATCATACTGTAAGTGTGTACGTAACCCTCGCTGTCATGGTGATCATACTGTAAGTGTGTACCTAACCCAAGGAGATGGAATCCAGATTATTGCTGTATGTATGCATTAAAAAATAAAACATTATTGTGAACTTATTGGTGAAGTCTGAATCTATACAACATGAGCTGGTGGCGGAGCATCCTTCCAGACAGCAGAAGGAACGGGCTTTGATCCCCGGTCGCGTCATACCAAAATATGTTGAGGTTCTTGTTATACCCTGCCAGGCGCTTGACATGACGGGGCTGAACAAGGACTTGTTGGCTCGGAGTGTGTCTGGGCTGGGTATTCATGTTAAACTGTGGCATGTTGTCTTCGTGGTCTAGCACTATAAAATCGGCATACACACGTGCATGCACGTCGCTATATAAGTGCAATAATCTTAAATGTGATTTTAAACTCCATTAAAGCTCACCTCAACTAACTCAGTACCATTTTGTTTGCAATGTGAGTTGTAAAGTGTTAGGTTAGTTTTAAGGAGGTTAGGAGGACTAATATATTGGGCTGCAACATGACAGCGTTTACATATTACAGTTCATATATTTCTCAATAACCGACCATATTTTCAGATTTCTTTACAAACGAAAACGGAAAAGGGGAGAAACCATATGGATTATCGATGCAGTGACAGGGATACTTTCATGCTGGAGAACAACTGGTACAGATGGTACAACTGCCAGGTAATACAGAATTATAACCTGAGACAGGACGTCCTCTTAATCACCATCACTTACGTCTATGTACAGTAAATTATATATCAAAATACAACGAAGTACACATATGAAATGGCAATCCCCTGATTTCTAAAACAATCAATTCGGACATGCTGATTCATACATTTGTCATAATCCGGATTTTGTTTATTTCAGGTACAGAGCTGGTGAAGATGGTGAGTATACATCTCGTAACTCATTAATTCTACTTAAGGTGACACTGAATTATCATTGGGTTTGTATAAACGAGATATTTTTTTACAAACATTAAAAATAGAAGAAACTAAATCGTAATTATGTTTGTTGGGCTGATTTATCTTCATCTCAGACAGGGAATATACATATTCAGCATTTCCAGATAAATTGTCTGCTACCACAAGCATTGTTTGAAAGAAACAGAAGATTGTAAATCCTGAGAAACAGAAACTGTTTCCTAGTTATGGGCTTACGACCCTATAGACTTGGAAAGAGACATTGTCGTGTGTCTTATGTATGTATTGGTATGTGATCTACGCAGCTAAGTTACATCAATAACATTAGCAATACAAGCTCGGTATATATTCCCCTTGAACATTTAGCGTGTTTGTATTGGTTCCATTACTTGTTGTGCCTTAGATATCGATATGGAGATTACACAACCAAGAGGGGGTTAAACATGCTTCATCTAACCATCACATCTGATATGTTTCAGAACCTTTCATGGCAGAGGAAGGTGAAGCCAGTAAGTATGGGATACATACAACATAGAAACTATGTATCTATGAGTGAATGTTGTCACGTGAGCTAATACGAAGTTAATATCAATTGTTTAATTTGTCCGTTTTCCGTGTAAGCTTTACATTATCTCATGGTAAATATAATGTTGGTTAAAGGTCTAGTGTATTAATAATTAATATGTTCACTGGTGATGCAATTACCCTTACCTTTTGAGTGGAATATTTGCAGAACACATGTTTTATAATATATGACTGTAAGCCGAATACCCTTAACAACAATAACAACGATATGTTAACAAATTAATATTATATTCGAATATAAGTCTTTGCAACATATGCATTTCAGTTGTGGAAGCATATTCATATACTTTTATTTTCTGACCAGTTTTGGGGAGAGGTGCTGATTCACCCTGCAGTTTTGTGCTCTTGACGTCTGGTAAGAACTGAATACCTTTATCAACATTAGTAATGAGAAGTATTGGTCTGGTATGTCATTCATGCATGAATACATGCACGCGTACGTTCCACAAGGGTAACCTGAGGTCTTCTGTTTAGATAAAAATGAAATTACTAGTTGATGCAGAGATGACAATATTATACTTTAACTAAACAATTTATCCTTATCAAACTCAGAAATTAGAGTCAAACGAGTTGAACTGGTGAGGCTGAATTTCACACTTCGTTTTCATTTGTTTACAACTATTAATGAACGTTTACAGGTTCACTAGAACAGAAGATAAAGGATGTCCAAGGGGTGTTTGTTGAAACTGAGAGCTTAAAGGAGGCGAGAGTAAAGTTGGAGACCTTTGGCCATGTGACATTAAGCGGTGTTCCAGGAGAAGGTAAAACATCCATGGCCCTGATGCTGGGAGCTGAATACAGGAAGCAGGGGTATGAGCTGGTACTGGTTGAAGATGCTTATAAAGTACAGCTGTCTGATTATCTGGAAAAAGGCAAAGACGTGTGTGTCATATTTGATGACATATTTAGGACAGTCAGTTCATATATGGATCTGTCCAGACTTAAGCACTTTTTGTACGACCTCCACGTGCACCTGGAACAGTGTGAGTCCAGATCAGAAAGAAGATACCAGCGTCTGCAGCAAGAAACAAGAGAGGAACAGAGAAAGCTGAATCAACCAAACATCTATGTTATATTCACTGCAGAAACAAACACTCTTGAGCGTGCAATGTCAAATCTAGGAGGTCAACGTATTTTCAAAAGTTCATCAGATGTCAAACTAACTTGTACACAGGGGGAGAAGAAAGCATTGTGGCAAAAGTATAAACATCACTATGGGTGTAAAGTGGATGTAAAGAATGTTTTTGCTCATACGAAAACGAATGTTGGTTTTCCTCTAGAATGCAAACTTTTCTCCAGTTGCTGTGTCTTTCAAATGCACCATGAGAGTTTTTTCGAGAAACCTATGTTTTATATCACAAATCAACTTCGAAAGATTATTAGCTCATTGGATGACAAGTCAGCTGCGCTCATCCTGATCTTACTGTGTGAAGGTCAGATAAACATCAGTCAACTGGAGACTGAGGATACCCGCCCAGGGAATCAACTGGATACGGAATGTGCCCGCCCAATCAGTCAACTGAAGACAAAAGGTGTCAGTCCAGACAGTCAACTTGAATCTGAAGGTGCCAGCCCAGACAGTCAACTTCAATCTAAAGGTGCCAGCCCAGACAGTCAACTTGAATCTGAAGGTGCCAGCCAAGACCTAGAGGCTCACCTCAAGGGAGTTGCAACTCTTGTGAAGACATCAACCAGACAGGGTGTAGCTAAGGCTCTCCAGTGTTTCTGTCGAACATTTTTGACAGAAGCAAACATAACAGCATTTTCCCATTCAATCATGTATGATGTCTGTGCTTTGGTCTTATTCAATTTTGAACCAGAGTTTATTCTTAAACATTGCAGTATAAAGTTCCTCCTTGAGCACGTACAGGATCAGCAGGTCGACGGTATTTCTGTCAATGAACACCAGCTCGTGATTCCTTTCTCAGAGGCCTACAGAGGAATAATTGCTGACAGAATGGCAGATGCTATTGCCAGTGGTGCTTTCAGTATGTACATCTGGCATCCCACATGGAAACGAAGAGAAATATCTGACAAATTAAATCATATGTTCACAGATCCAACTTCCTTGTCTGATGATATCAAGCAGAACATTCTCGAGTATGCCTGTTTCACTGGGAACAAGAATATCCTAAAGAGACTTCTTCCTCACTGTGAAATCAATAGGCCTGGGTTGAATGGCTGGACACCGGTGATGTATGCAGTTGTCGCTGGACAGATAGAATGTTTTGACATCCTTGTGGAAAGCAAATCTGACATCACTTTATGTGACAGGAACAACTATAATTTAGTGCATTTGGCCTGTCAACATGGGCATAAGTCCACTGTAAAACATGTAAAAAAAGCGCTCAAGAAACATCTTTCTCCTGATTTGTATCTCAATCAGTATATTAATGGACGAGGAGTAAATGACTGGACACCAGTTATGTGTGCAGTGGCGTTTGGGAAGGAGGATATCTTAGATTATCTTACCAAAAAAGGGAAAACATTTGAAAGGAAAAAGCAAAACAAAGTTGATTTCAAATTATCAGATATCCACAAAAACACTGTGCTTCATCTTGCATGTTGGTATGGAAACAAGTCCATTGTAGAGAGTCTGCTCCCCCACACAGATATCAATGCACGTGACAACAATGGACAGACACCGGTTATGTGTGCGCTATTGTCTGGGAGGAAGGACATTTTCGACCTTCTCGTTTCAAAAAAGGCTGACCTCACATTGACCGATGATGACAACTGCAATCTTCTTCATGTGGCTTCTCGCGTTGATGATCTATCTCTGTTACCATCAATAGTGCCAAAGTTTGACATCAATAGTCGGGGAAAACACGGATGGACACCACTGATGAGGGCAGCCGTAGATGGAAATGTGGACGTATTTCAGCTTTTCCTTCACACAGTGGACCTAGAGCTGGATACACCGAAGGCTGACCTGAGGCTGAAAGATGATAACAGCAACAATCTCCTCCATCTTGCATGTCATGGAGGAAATGTCTCCATTGTGAAACTATTACTGCCAAAGTTTGATATCAACGGTCGGGGAAACAACAGTTGGACGTCGGTGATGTTTGCAGCTGACAAAGGAGGAGAACATGTCGTCAAGTTGCTTGTGTCACAGGGGGCTGATATAAGATTGAGGGATGAACAAAATAATTCTGTATTACATTTAGCATGTTTTGGTGGAAATATTTCCATTGTGAAATATCTATTGGCATGCAAGTGCACTGATATCAACTGTCTGGGAAGCCAAGGGAGAACAGCAATAATGATCACAGCCTTGGATGCAAAACCCGCCCTGTTCGAACTACTTTTGTCAAAGAAGGCCGATATCACACTGACTGATGATGATAATAATACTGTATTACATCATGCCTGTCAGGGTGGGAACTATTCCATTGTGAACATTCTGATATCAAAGATTAACATCAATACTTCTGGAAAACACGGCTGGACACCAGTCATGTTTGCAGCATGGGCAGGAAGGAAGGATATGTTCGAGTTGCTTGTGAAGCAGAATGCTGACCTCACTTTGACTGATGACTACAATGACAATGTTCTACATTTAGCATGTCAGGGTGGGAGCACAGCTATTGTCAAATGTCTTGTGAAACTCGGTGACGTTAATCGTCGGGGAAAGAACAACTCGCCAGAATCAATACATGCAGCGATATCAGTGTTCAGTGGAAATAAAGATCCTCGAGAGGGTAATGCACCGAAGGAAGATATACAATCATCGACTTCCCCGGAGAATGATAATGCTATCTGTGTAGTCGGTCAAAGTGGAAAGGAAGCCACCGTGAAACAAGAGAGTGGCTACTTTGACATCAACGTTAAAGGGAGGGATGATCAGACTCCACTTATGAGGGCAGTGTGTGGAGGCGATATGGACGTGTATATTTTCTTGTTGTCCTGTGGAGCTGACCAAACTCTGGTGGACAAGGATGGACACACTCTTCTACATCTTGCTGCTCAGCATGGTCAGCTTCATATGGTGAAGTACATCATAGACTCTTTTGACATCAACACAAAAGACAAGGCTGGCTTGACACCTGTCATGACGTCAGTAGCATCTGGCAATGTTGCTGTGTTCGAATATCTTAGGAGAAGAGGCGCTGACTTGTCTTTAGTTAACAATGCAGGGAATGATGTGTTGAAGCTCGCTCGTGAAGTAGGATGCAGACAAATCCTGGAACAACTAGAACCAGCAAAGAAGGCCAAACGATTCTCTAGACTGAAGGATACGAAGGTTGTCAAACTGTTCATTCAAGCTAAGAAGAACATGCATTTACATTCAGAAATAAGCTCAGAAGTCACTGGTGAGAGTTCAAGTTCACCCAATGAAAACAGCAATGATCTTGATTTGAAACAAACAGACTAATCTGCAGAAACATTGCTACATCTGGCTTTTCGTATAGGCAACATGTGAATCGCCCATCCATCCGGTGATGATAGCAGCTGTTTGTGGACGTGATGATGTCTTCCGACTTCTGGTGTCTCACAAGGCACATCTCGCTCTGGTTTCAGACATAGGGGCATAATTGATCTCTCTGACGCGGTCAGGCAACAATAAAGAACTTGTCAAACACTTTGAGAAATAACATGAGAGAAAAAAGGACGTTCTATCAAATGAAAATCATATATTGACATTCAATCTGCTTTGAGTATACATTCATGGTGAACTCAGATGTTCACATATCGACAGACATTCTAGTAATGTTTCCAGTGTGTATGCAACATGATTTGTGTTGTTAATGGTGTTAGAAAATATGGAAATTAAACCGTAGTACTGTGCATAACCTGTCTGATTTCTATGTTTTCAGATACAAGTCAGTGTTACATAAATACAGAAAAGGTAACTGTGCTTCATATATAGTTCAGCAAGAATATATTTGTTCGGGAATTGAATAATGGATCTTTCAAAACATTTTTTTAAGACACACTCATTACTGTCACAGGTCACAAAGACAGCCATATTTCATTGTAGTATCTACGTAATCGATAATAAACTGCAACATTAACTTACAATACCAGGGTTGAGACCAATTAGTGACAAAATATTACGTCAACGGTAGAGTGTGAGAGTCATCAATCCAACATCCTGTGATAAGCCCTGATTTGCTGCCACTTCAACATTAATGTTACTTAACTTCGTTAATGCCAGGACACAACTCGTAACCGGGACGACCTCGTTGGAGCACACGTCGCTGTAAACCCAATTTCAGCTCAGTTCGTTTGAGCACATGTTCTGCCCCTTGTGTATATGCATGGATATAACGTCACGATGCAGCAGAATAATACAAGCACCTTTCATCTGTTGCAACAGACCTTTTGAAGCAGCATAACCTTGATGTACGCCCATGATCCGCAGTTTCTTAAGGTCTCTTCCCCAATAGAACTTATCTTGGAGGACATGGAACGCCGGCTACATCAGGATTATGGTAATGCTGGCTGATTTGAGCCAATATTTTGCTGACATTTGGAACAACATCCCCAGGGCTGTTTTCAATCACCTGTAGTCTTCAGAGCGACAGGGCTTCCTCATCTGTACCATTGCAAATGTTGGTCAAACCCAATATTGACATTTTAATTGAGTTTTTAGACCTTTACTCTTTAAAGCGTGATACACTGGCTACTATCGTCTCCGTGGTCTAGCGGTAGAGCGTCTGTCGAGTGAGCGGAAGGTCCGGGCTTGATCCCCGGCCGCGTCATACCTAAAGAAACTATAAGATGATACTTGTTCGGCATTGAGGGAGTAAAATAAGTACAGTTACATGCATGTTGACATAAAAGTGCTATAATATTGGACGAGACGTTAAACCCTATTTCATCTCATCTCACATGTCACCTGTTACCGTGAAAGCGATTTTTTTAATTAATTCTATCACACTTCTTACAACATAGTATGTTATTATTAGGAGAATGTACACAACGAAGCTAAGTTACTGATTTCCAAATGCCTGTCAAAAATCAAAAATGTTCCTCTGAACTGACTTATACACTAATGAAAACCCTCAATCGGAGTTACCCCCAAGTAGTGAGACATGTAAGTGTGGAAAATTCCAATATAAAACCTCACTTGCATGATGCTGGTGTTAAATCCTAAACCGAAATGTCGCTCCTAAATGTAATAAAGACGTTTTTCATCCATATATACTCAACAAAAAAAGTTTCTGTGACACTAATATCTTAGTGTATTTTTCAAACAAGTAAAGTTTGGTTTTTATTATTATAGTACATGTATGGAATCAAGTCACAAACACGCAACTGCTACAGAAAAGCATGCATTCCATGCAAAAGTCGACTTTAATGAAAGCCCCATGCATTTCCCTACCCAAGAATGGGTATAAAACCATGCGTTAACGGGATTCCATATGCATTGTTTAGCATCGTCCTGACAACAACCAATCAGAAAAACAACAAAATTACGCAATTATTCAACATTCCGAAATGCCCCGCCTGTCCGAAAATGAGCGTCTGCGTATGCTTGAAGCAGGATCGAGTCAACGTGATGTTGCAAGACAATTTAACGTCCACAGAAACACCATTTGGTATTTATGGCAACGTTGACAACAGACGAATGCAGTCAGAGACCATTTTCGGAGTGGCAGGCTACGAGTAACCAATACTCGACAAGACAACTGGATTCGAACAACACACCTACGAAATCGATTCCAGCTAGCAACAGTGACTGCAAGAAGCATCCCTGGCCTTCGATGAATATCTTCACAAACCGACGTCTACAGTGGTGCAGACAGCGTCTACGCTGGACGGCAATGCAGTGGTGACAAGTTATATTCACTGACGAGTCTCGTTTTCACCTCAGCCACATTGATGGACGGATTCGAGTGTACCGACGTCGAGGTGATCGGTACGTCAATCATTGTGCCATGGAAGAAGATCGGTTCAGGGGCGGCAGCGTTATGGTATGGGGTTGGATTACAGCAAGACAGAGGACCCGTTTGATAGTGGTTGAGGAAATCTCAATGGACAGCGCTACCGCGACGAGATCATCGGCCCTGTTGTGCTACCTTTTTTGCGTCATCATGGCCCAGGCATTACCTTTCAACATGACAACGCCCGGCCTCATATTGCTGGTCTTGTTCAGGATTCTGTTCAACAAAACAACGTGAGTGTCATCCCCTGGCCGGCTCGCTCCGCTGATCTCTCACCAATCGAGCACATGTGGGATGAGATGGATCGGCGCCTTCGACATCAAACACGTGTTCCACAGACACTCCAGGAACTTCGAAACATGCCCCAGCAAATATGGACAGATATCCCACAGGACTTTGTGCGACGCCGGGTACATTCCATGAAACGAAGATGTGTTGTTTGCATTGCAAACTGAGGTGGACACACACGCTATTGATTTGTAAATTGACATTGTGGCCTGTTCATGTTTTTTTTTATGAAATCACGCATTTTCTGAAGTCAGTATGCCAAATAAACCATTTGAACACTTACAGGAGTCTTTTATCTGTTGCAAACCGAAATTGTTTCCGATTTGGTAATAAACTTAAGTTTGGATTAAATCTTATTCAATGTCACAGGAACTTTTGTTGTTCAGTATACTTATTCTTACTTTACTAATCATACCTCGACTTTTGATCAGTATTTTCCTGATCAGATAAAAAGCCACCAATGGCGTTATCTTGAACATAAACACATTTTAGAGGTTTTGTTTTATTTGCCATTTCAGAATCCTCAGAAAAGTCCTCTTCTTATATATTGTCAACGACATATTGAGGTATATATATTTTCAAGGGATAGCGTGTGACTCTCTGTGGGTGAACTTGGTGACGATGTCTCTGAACCTTTTTCACACCCTCATTTTATGTTTTACAGTTATAAACATTGAATGATCCGAGAGGTTGGAGGGCATTTTTCACTCCGACTGACCCACTATCAATCTTGATCAGTTCATTAACTTTGATGGGCATCGTAACTGCGGCCGGACAGCCATATGTGTTGATTTGTCGTCTGCAAACGGTGTAAATAAAGAAACATTTACTTTTACACACAAAAAAACAACATTTGTTTGGTTGTGTATATTATTTCATTGTATCAGTATTTGAATAATAGAGGAATGCAACTATTTCAAGCATGTTGACTAAAATATGGACTTTGATAATCCGATTACGAAATCTCGTTTCTATGATAGCTCAGTTGTTCAGAGTAAAATCTGAATGGTCGTAGTAAATACGTATGAATGAAATAAATAGTGCGTTTTGAAAGCAAGACTGACCTCGTTATCAGTCAATCATCGTCAAGGAACTGTCTCGTGACATACATGATATGTAAATTTAATGTTTCGCCTCAATTTGACAGCCATATATTTTATAACTATGTCTGCTTGGTCATCTCATGACTGTCATTTATATCTCCTTAGCCCTTAATATGTTTGTTTACACATTTATCTGTCAAGTCACAGCCAGGGAAAGTTTGTTTGCTGTTTTACTTGAAGCATTTACCTTAGGTCAGTTAAACCGTGCATGTCAACCTCAGGGCTGGGACTGTCTTTGGAAAAGATCGTTCACGACCTGCATGTGCAGGTCTAATTTTTTCTGGACTAATTCTTTTTGGACTTTTTGACCTTTTCTGCATATAAATTAAAACAAATTTTAATAACTTAATGCATATTAATTGTAAAATAATTTGTTTTTAACTATTCACCGGTTAATAGTACATCGAAAACCAGAATCCGATGGTTTGTCGGCAAATATTTGTGCTCAAAACGACAGGTTTCATAAAGCTGTGATATAACATAACTACAGTTGAAAAAGGAGTATAAACTGCTGACACAGAAGAGAAGTTGAAGGGGAAACAACTCCTTATGTCATTACCCCTTCACTCAGATCACAGGTCACAATCAGGAAATGCTCACGATTATTTTTCGTCAAGAGATTGGTCAACTACAAAAACAAGAATACGAGTGTTGTCTACTGAATCGGAACATTCTATCAAAATAGGGATATCTGACTCATTCTTCAAACGCTGCTGGATGGCATATTTTTAATCACCTTGACATAATCAAAACATTTTGTACACATTTGCGATAAACATCAGTGCTGGTGTTATTCATGTGTGCATTAGGGACAAATATATATGTTAATGGGTTTGACTCAACGGGGCAATCTATGGTGGAATAATTTGTTTTCAGACGAGATAGTCGCTTTCATCGCGACAAAACAATTGAATGTTGAGAGTTAACAAATAACCTGAAACATCAACACATATATTTCCTTGCAGATGTTATAACCTCTGCGGGGGTGTATTTGTATTTAGAGACAGAGAAAGCCAACAATTATACAGGTACATGTGCAAAATACGCCTGAGTAATTTTAACAGTAATAAATAACAACATAACTCACAAAATAATAGTGATAAAACTTTTTATATCTCATTTTCTGAGAATGACATCAACGTATTGATATTGGATATGCTAAAAAATATTCTCAGTGTTACAGAAAAGAAACAAAGAAATGTGTTTAAGGAAGATAAAGACTGTATAATTGTATCAGGCAGGAAGTGATACAGAGGACGACGTATACGGAAGGAAAATAAGGTCATGAATATTACAGAACCAGCAGAATTGCACGGTAATATTTGTCTGAATCCTCATGTCAACAGCTAGAATGATGTAGTTGTTACACATCATGTTTAGATATGTCATGTGATAACTATACTGTCCATATATGATCCAAACTGGTGCGAGTGAGGAGTATCTACGCTGCTTTTGACACTATGTGAGTCAAATAAAGTTGGTTTAAGACATTCAAATGTTGGGAATA